AGGAGAAAGAAGGGAAGAATAAAAATAATTATGATATATTAAGTACATGTACCTACTTCCTGATGAATGTAAACACTCTGTACTGTAAACGTGTACTAATAAAAATGCATTTATTCTAATTTTTATTTTTAAAAACATGTATTTTATTTTGTATGATTTAAAACTATATAATTGATTTCTTGATAGCTGCCATTCTTTGTGGGGTGAGGTGGAATCTCAGTGTTGTTTTCATCTGCATCTCTCGAATGACCAGTGACGTGAAACATTTTTTCATATATTTACTTGCTGCTTTTACTTCTTTGTCTGATAAATATCTGTTCATTTCGGATGCCCATTTTTGAATTGGGTCTTTATATTTGGGGAGGCTGATTGTTTTGAGTTCTTTATATATTCTAGATAATAGTCCTTTCTCTGAGGAGTATCTGGTAAAATTTTTTCCCACATTGTAGGTTGTCTCTTAGTTCTGTTGATGGTTTCTTTTGCAGTGCAGAAGCTTTCACACAATAACAAATGTTGGCGGGGTTATGGGGAGAAAGGAACCCTTCTCCATTGTTGGTGGGAGTGCAGACTGGTGCAACCACTATGGAAATCAATATGGAGATACCTCAAAGAGCTGGGACTAGAGGTTCCATTTGACCCAGCCATAGCTCTGCTGGGTATCTTTCCAAAGGAATTAAAAGAATCATATCATAGTGATATATGTGCACCAGTGTTTATAGCAGCACAGTTTGTAATAGCTAAAACTTGGAAATAGCCCATTTGCCCATCTGTTGGAAACTGGATAAAGAAATGTGGTTTTTCTATAAAATGGAATACTACTCAGCCATAAAGAATGAGAAATTAGTCATTCATAGGAAAATGGATACATATTGAGGATATACTCCTAAGTGAAATAAATAAGTCACACATGTGTAAATACCAAATAGTCTCTCTGGTATGAAAAAGTATAATAGTATACAAGATCCTAATGGGATAATTAATAGTGTGAAATAGGAAGAAAAGGGCTAAAATTGTAGGGAAAGTGGGAAGGGTCGGGGAAAGGGAACAAGGGAAAAGGAAAAAATATGAGAAAATGAAAAATGGAAATAAAGTGTTTGTAAATGGGGTGAGGGAAGGCAGGGACAAGGGAAAAAATGAGAACCAAGACTTGTCATGTGAAAGTACAGGATCCCAGTAATGAATGTAACTGTTTTGTATACCTAGATTGTACCAACAAACTCAATTAAAAAAAACTATATAATTGAAATTCTGAGTCTTGTTTTTGTGATCACGTTTTAACATTGAGACATCTTACTTAGTAGAAGGTAATTTCTATTAAATACCACACTGCAAAGACATAAAGGTATAGAATATGTTATAAACATACGCCACAATTTGTCCATTCTTCAGGCCATGGACACATAGGTTGGTTCCAGCTTTCAGCTCTGATGAAGTGATGTTACTGTGAACACTTGTGCCTGCTTCTTGATGTGTGGATCGAAGAGTTCAGTAGGATGCATGCCTCAGTAGAAATGTCAAGTCCAAGGGAATGGGCATATTCACTCATACTAGATATATTCTTTTCAAAATTGGTAGAATATACGTTAAACACTCAATCTCATGTAGCCAGTTTCTTTTTTAATATCCCAACACGTGACTTCTATAATTTATTTGATAAATAATATTTTGTTTTGTAATTTCTAATCTATACAGTTACTGCATGGCTAACTCTTGGATTGTTAGTCATCTTACATATGCTGACATTTAGTACTAGATATACATTTGGTCTGGGAGGTAACTGCATGTTCTTGGTAGCAGTGAAAGAGCAGAGGGATTAAGTGAATAAACTCTGATATCAAAATGTCTGGGTAACAGACACACAAGCTTAAACATGTTTTCTCTTATACAACAAACAATATATATTGATTTAGATATAAACTATGAAATAAAAGATAGATAATAGGAAAAAAGAGAGAGATATTGTAATTTAGTGCAGATAAGATACCTAAAAGTGTACCTTGATTTAATACAACTGTCTTACACGTTTTATCATCCTTTGGCCTTAGTCTGGTTTTCAATCTGTATATATGGTAAGTGACTTTATAAGGTCCTATAAAAATAAATCTGGTGCTGGAAAAATATAAAGAGAATAGATGAAAGGGGGAAAAGAAATGTATTATGTACCAATTTCCTATAATGAAAGTACTCATTATGTACTGCAAATATATACTAATAAAAGTAAAAAAGAAAAATAATCAGCTAGGCCATTACAGGGGACCGAACCACTACATGTTTCACTTACCTGCAATGTAATTTGGGAAAAACAATACTACCACCTTCAAAGGGTTATTATGATGATTAAATAAGTTAATGTGCTAAACATTTAGAATAATGTCTAGTAAGCAGTATATAAGTTGTCCTAGTCATTATAACTCATGCTGCTGCTCTCCATAAAAGCAATCATAAAAATCACTTATAATAGATAACACTGTCTCACACTGAATAGCAATCATCAGTTGCAAAAACCCACATGTGCATTTCAGCAAAATCTAAAAAGCCTTTCGACATCAGTGCCTACACTCTTCCCTCATTTCATTATGGAGTCTCTAGAAAAATATATCCCTGAATTGTGCTGTGGATTCACTAATACTAACAGTGCACCCTCCTCACTTGATCAGTCTCATCACATATAGGTATTCATAGAATCTTCCACCATAAGACACAAACTCCCTAGGCCCATGATCCTCTCCACACTTTCCACTATATTTAAAAGTAATTCATAACTTCAGTAGTTAAACAGAATTAACTATAGCTAAGATAGTTTTTGCTCCCCATTCTACTCCACTCACTGGGAGTGGTCTTGTCACTTGTGGTGCACTGAAGCAGTCACTTTTCATCATTTGTTTCTCAAAGCACTATACACTGTACCTCTGGTGTCCCTTACACCTTACTGATTTGTCTCCCTGGAACATGTTCCTCTTTCTAGCCAGCTCATCATGTCCAGTCTTACACTTTTCAAAACCTTTAAAATGCTGATGCTGGGCTAGGGATTTAGCTCAGTGGTTCCGGTGCCTGCCTTGCCTGCGAAAGGACCCAACTTCAATCCTGATCTCCCCCTACCCCACCCCGCCAAATGCTGATGCTTTCCAAAATTCCAGCCTTGATTTCACTGATTTCCAGACTTCCATATTCAACTGCTTGTAGGGCATCATCTGGATCTCTCATAACAATGACGACAATTAAGCAATAATCACACACAGTTTTTCTCAGAGAGCCAAGCCTGTTACCAAGTTGAAGCCTTCACCATGGCTGTTCTCCTTGTCTAGAACACTCTGCCATCCATCTTTGCATTCCTAATACATTTATTCACTTGGGCTCTCTTCCATCTTCTTCTTCAGTAGCACTCTAACCACTCCCTCCAAAGTAGTCCCCGACCCTGCCGAGCTCTTGATATCATAGTATTTATTCTGTTCTTAGTATCTTTGTAGGGTGATCATTATCAGAAACCACCTTGTTCATTAATGTCCCTTCTCCTGTACCTACCCCTACCACTTCTTTGATCATCAGTGTCTGTAAAATGGAAATATAAGCTGAATTAGCAACAGAAAGCAAGACTTTACTTTATTCTATAGATAGGAAGACAGCACATTTTGCAGATGACGTGTTTATAGAATACTTGGGGACATAAAATAACATTCAAAGATATCAGGGATAAAGTGGAGAATGGGATAGAAGAGGGGCATCCTGGAATGTCTGGCACATAGTGTGTTTGGTAAACACTTGCTGAATCTATTGATTGATTTCACTTTATTTCACAGATTTACATCTGATTACAAATGGAAGACAAAAGAAGTATCCACAAATGTCTACTGTGTTAATTTTTAAGGAAATACCTATATAAACAATTATACTGCATATGGATGTGGAAGCATTAAGGGTTCCCAACACATCAGGAAATGCAAAGAGCACTGATATTTACATGCCCGTGCTTGGCATCACCCATAAGCTAGTTTGCTAATATTTTATATTCCCAAAATTTCTTTCTATAAAGATTATCTTTGGTCTGGATTTCTGATTTAGCTGCAGCATGTAAAAATCCAACTAGACAACTTGCTTTGACTATATCATCAGAATTGGCTTAAAAGTAAAAGTGACCTTTGAGTTTTTCTACAAATAAATCCTTGATGCTATCCTTAGGATTAAAATAGCCATTTGAAAGGAAATCTCTTTTTAAGAAGCAAAGGAAATGTGAAGAGGCCGGTATTTTGACCTGACAAGCTCAGCCTTAAAATTGAGTTCTTTAGATATGAATTGTAAGGGAATCAGTTTTCAAATAGCACTTCTAATATTATATAAAACATGCCTTTATAGACTTTCCAGTTTCAATTTCTGTTGGTTTTCTCTTTAAAAAGTAGTTTTTTTTTTCTCTTATGACTATATTAATTGAGTTGCAAACTTTTCCCCTTGCTTTCATTAATTCCTTTACTCCATGCCCTTCCCCAACCCCATGCCAGTCTGGACTAACATGTATAACATTGAGAAATCAGAAACTTAGGAAAAGATGTTTTATTCACGGTTAGAATTACATAGTTCCAACAAGTAAACATAATTAATAAAACACTTAGAGGTACCAGAGGAGGATCTCCAGTAATAATACAAGGCACTGTTTATTACACAGTTGAAAGCTTGACAAGTTGGGTTCAATCCCATCAAATGAAACATTACTGGGTGGGAAGTGTTCCTGCAGGGACAGGAAGAACTAAAGACTCTTCTACTGGTGTAGGTAGCCCGGGCCCTCTGAGAGCAGAGGACAGGAAGATGACTACAATGGCAGCAAGAATGAGAGTCCCAGTTATGATGGTAATGACACTGATGATCAGAGCAATTTCACGGGTCTCAGAAATCTTTCTGGTGCCTCTCATCCAGTTGACAGTCCTTGACCCATTCCTCAGATGAATCTCATAATCCATTTTCACAAACTGAATCCAATGCATTCAGTTGTAGGACTGTAGTAGCACACATTGTACCAGGATGAAACACACTCATCCTAGTACTTGATATTATGGAAAAATATTATTGCATCATTTTGCATGAGTCAGGTCTAAGCTACATGGAAAATATATTGTTAAAAAACAATATACACACAGGTACTTTTGGTGGTATGGCTTAATACCCTGTGCTTAGGTACAAAAAGCGTTATAAGCAAAGTAAATGAACAGTAGTGCTTAGTTTTAAAAAAGAGGGAGAGAAGAAAGTATTTTACTATACCAAAATTAGTTTACTGCATATTAAAATCAAATCTTACACAAATACCTTTACAAAACTGAATTATATAAAGCATTAAAATAGAGTAATTTTTATACATTAACATGAATGTGTTAAATTATTATATATTAAAGACATGATTTGAAAGTTCAAAATTCGATGTTCAAATGTCATTCTTTAAAAAGCCAGAGGAACTGCACGATCATCGAGCATCCTTCTACAAGGGTTTCATCATTAAGGTTGGGGCTATCTGTTATGAGCCAGAAGAGTCATTAAGTAACATTCAAAGAAAGATAAAAGTACAACACCATGTTCAAATACAACTGACTTTCTGAGATTCACATGGAGCTTGCTGAGTTGAGTGAAACACATCAACACTGTTTTTCAAGACTGATCACTGCTATCTGGCAGCATCCAGTACCCTTGTCAGTGGCCATAAAGATGGAGTTTCAGGGAGAAATGGCATCCAGATGAATTTCAGAACAAAGAGGAAGCTCCAGCAGACCTCTTGTTCTTGTTATGAGGTGCAAACAGCAAAAGAATGAAATGTAACAACCATGAGTATGTAAACTACAGGGGATTTCAAAGTTAGACTTTTATGATGTTTTATGAATGATCCTCAACTCAACCCTTCCTACTGAGTTCCCAGGAACCAAATTTCACCATCAATAATATGGTTTAAAAGTTCATGCTCGGCAAAATCCATGACAATAGACATTCACTCTTCTTTATCTAGGGACAACAGTCACATCTCTAGTTTATGCCCAAATGAAACTCACCATAATGAAGGGAGAGAAGAGAAATGGAACTTCTGGTACCATTTATTTTCCTGTGACAGTAATAAAGCTGCTGTATCACACAGCTTGAAAAATGTACAGTAATCACTGTATTACATTAACTGTGTAAGTCAAAAGCAAGTAATTTTTCCCAGAAAAAAAAATTATTTTACCCTCTGATTCCTTTTCTTTCCACATCAAAAATGCCATTTACATTATTTCCACTTGAAGTCAGGAAGTGTCTGAGGCCATGTGGAATCTACAAGCAGTGTAAGTGGACATCACAGTGAGAGGAGGCCAAGTTTCCACATCAGCACCTTCCCCAAACTGCCCATAGGGCACCATGCCTTACAACTCTTCCCTAACACCGTCTTGTATATGCTGTGAAGCTTTGTCTTCCTTCCTGGGTGCCAACCACGTGAAATACACCTTCACTGGATCGATGTTCCAGTGTTTGTGGAATGATATGGGAACTTGATGAGAAAGGTAGTCTTTAGGGTAATCCACTGGCCGGGCCTGCACAAAGAACAGAGAATTATGCTCTCTTGCTGATCAAAAGTGACTGTTTCAGAATACCATTTGAATTTGTAAAGCAATTGTTTTGCCTCAGTATTTGGTAGTGGTTTGAGGAATCTAAAAACAAGAAAGGAAATTTGTTCTACTACTTTTCCTTTAATCCAGACTCCAGGCTTTTGTGTCTCCAATTACTTTAATATCCCAAATGCTTTGCTTTTTGCTTCTGTGTTCCAGAATCTTGCCTCTGAAAGATTCAAGCATGGTCATAAATATAAAAACTTTTACTTGATAAGTTACTAAATTAGTACTACAACTTCTGAAAAAAAGGCAGAAAAATTACGTATTTCCCTGGTCTCTCTGAAGAAATTCTGTCACACATGTTTTATGTGGGTGACTGAAGCAAGGAGTTCTCAGGGTCTCCCTGCCTATTTACTGCTCTACCATAATGAGGAGATATCTTTCAAAAGAGACAAAATACAGAGTTCACCAGGGAGAAAGGTAACGTTAAGTTCTAGTTGTAGAAATGTAAATAACCTGAAACAGCTTGCAAGATAGTCTAAAACGTTTTTTGTATTATCAACATTTCAAAATTCTCTAGAACTTAGAAATTGAAACATAATGATAAGTACATAGAGCCTGGAATGTTGAGATTAATAATGTAACCCACAGCATTAGAAGGAAAATTGAAACCAGATATAATTGTGTTTGCTCTACTAAAGAAAGCACTCATCCATTCTCAATGTTCTTAATTTGTTCATAAATTTAATATATCCCATCTGTTTTATACAGCAACTCTTTGAGTTATCGATACTAAAATTGTCTTGGCAATTAAAACTAGATATAATACATTTCAAAAATTCTCCAGGGTTTTATTTTGTTATAGTCTGTTTCTATTTTTATATGAATGTTTCAACTGTCATAAATGATATGTGGAATACCTTCATTAAATTTTATCTTATTTAATCCTTGAAACTGTCTAACAAGATGGACGGAACATTATTGGTATGAGAAAACTGGAGCTCAGAAACAACACAAGAGCACATGTTGGAATGGGGACAGGAGAGGTGTCCGGCTCCCCTCTGGTGTACACGAGGACACTGCTGTCTATGCGCAGACCACTACCCTGGCACCTGAGAGTACCGAATGAGGTTTCAATCACCCTCTTCTCACTAGGAAGCATAAATCAGATGAATGTTTCAAACAATAATATCTGTAGGGAAAAGTTCAAAATAGCATAGGGGGAGAACTTTCACAACTGCAATTTTATTGTCTTTTAAAAATTCTAAGTGCTCATGAAGAGGGAATTTTAAAAGGAAAAATAACATGCTAGATAAAGAATATACGCTGGAATACAGTCTAATTGAATTAGGAAATTTTTGAATATGAGGCCAAGGAACTCATATATTATATAATGTTTATTCATAAGGTCCTCTGAGAGTTTACTGGCAGAAAAGGATACCAAGGAGAAACATGTTGTTAATTTGGTTCTCTAATAATTCCACAGTGGTCCCAGAAGAAAGAAGCAAAAGCAATAGAAATAAATCTTGTTTGTTTTTCACAGTATGAAAATGAAATGCTAGAGATACAAATGGATGTAAAGGGAAAAAGGTCCCTAACTTTTTTCCTTCTGTTATTGTAAATTCCAGGTGTGATTAACTGCATCTCAGCTGCTCATGTGAAGGAACTCGCTTGTTAAGCATTAGAATCAAGAGGTTATTTTCATACATGAGGTCATGGAAAAGAAGAAGACAAATCTAGAAAAGTGAATTGGATCCACAGAAGTGTCGGTAACACCAAGAAGTCTGCATAGCCTCTAATAATCATATCTCTGTAATAACCACATGCCAAAAGAAAATCCCAAATATGAAGAGTCAGAGGTGAGGAAGGATTTAAGGAACTGATGTGGAAATGTAATGGGCAGCTGTGTACAAGAAAAAAAAAAAAGGCTTAAACTGCACAAATAGAACAGTTAGAAATAATGGATCTGAAGGAGACACTTCCTTCCCTCCATTTAATTCTAAACAGCACCATGAGGTTATTCCCGCTGCCTAATAGGGGCAGAAAATAAAGTAACAAAAACCCAGGAGATCCTTAATGCAACAGGAGAGAGTACATGGGTGTGGGATCTCCTAGCCTGACTGTTTGGTCACCTTTACCCTACTCTCACCTCATTACAGGTTTATAAATATGTACTACGTATCATAAACATAATTAAGATGAGTGAATTTTAGGATAAGCATGTATGTTGACAGCCCCTAAGATGACTCAGCATGCTGTCAATGATTCCTGTCAATCACACCCAGAGATTCAGGGGAAGGCATTTAAGAAGAGGTGTCTGGCCTTCAAACTCTGATTTACCCTTGCGTTTGCTACTTTTGCAGTTCTTTCACCTGTGTGCCATGCTTTTCTGTCCCAGCACTTTCTGGTCTGAGCCCTATCTCATGTTGGCACACACTTGTCCTGAGCATAACTTCCTGTGATTTTCAATAAATGCAGCTGCTTGCTACTTACTACTGGGTGTATATTTTGCAGGTTTTTTTCCTCATCATACACAAGAGCCTAGGCTATTATTGGCCCATTCCACAGCAACATAAGATCATAAATTGGGCAATTTTAGAACTCTCTTTTTCTCTTTAGAGCACTCTGAACAGAGCAACAAATGGAGGCTAAAACTGTTCTTCCTTAAGACCTGCTTTTTTTCTTTTACAGCTGTATGGAGGAAGGTTTTACATCTCTACAGTTCACCCACAGTAATGGTAGTCTAAAAATTTTTAGAAAACTTCCAAAAAAAATGGGCTTGGAAGTAACCATAAAACCAGTTTTAGAACATCACCTCTTTCCCTCATTCCTCTGCATGCAATTGCAATTCTTACTGGCAGGCTGAGGAAAACACTGATTAGCATCTCCTCGGTTCTCTTTCTTTCTCTGCACCCCCAATAACTCTAAGGCCTTTGCACTGAGCTATATCCCTAGCCCTTCTTTTAAGACAAGATCTTGCTAAATCACTAAGTTGGCTAAGCTTGACTTTGCAATCTTCCTGCCTCAGCATCCCACAGTACAGGAATTATGTCCTAATTACCTTCATCTCTACAGTTAGCTTTTCTGGAAATGTCTTGAGTGGAACCCTACAGTGTGAATATATTGTGCCTAGCCCCCTTAACTCAGCATTGTTGCATGTGTCAGTAGTTTATTTGTTTCTATTGCTCAGTAATGTTGAATTGTATGGATATACCACATTGTTTACCTAATCATCAGCTGATAAACAGCAGGTGATTACTGTCTCTAATTCTGGATTAGTGTGATTAATGGTGCTATGATCATTCTCATGTAAGTCTATATATTTTTTACTTCAGGTAAACCCTGAAATGGAATTGCCAGAGCATAAACATAATGTACCAGTTACTTATTACTATAAAACATATCACCCCCAAATGGAGCTAATTAACACAATTATTGCACAGCCCTTGACATTTAGACACAGCTTAGCCGGACCGCTGCTTCAGTCTCTCACCATGTTGCCATCAAGATGTCAACCCGTTTGTGGTCTCAGCTAAAACTTGTAGTGGGAGAGGACCCATTTCTACACTCACTCAGTGGCTGAGAACAGTATTCTGTTCCTGTGGACAAGTGGACTGTCGGCCTCACTTCCTTTCCAGCTCTTGATCAATGGCCACCCAGACATGGGCTACTCCCCATTAACACATGCAAACCAAAAAAGAAATGTGAAGACTGTGCTAGGAAGGTGCAAGTTACAACTAACTACTGGTAACCTAATTGTGAAAGAAACATTTCATCACCTTTGCCATATTCTGTTGCTTAGGAATAAATTAGTAGTCTGCCTGTGCTCAACAGAAAGGGACTATACAAGGGCATGAATGCCAGCCAGTGGGGATCACTGGGATCCAAGTCATAACTGCCCACCACATACACATTTAAGACTGCCAAAATATTTCCAAAGTGCCTGTATTTTATATTTCCACTGACAATGTATGAGGAATTCAGATTTCCACATTCTCATCAAGATGTGCTAGGGTCTGTCATATTGCTTATAGCTATTCCAGTAAGTATATCATGTAAATAATATTGATTTTTAGCTTACAACTCCCTAATGACTAATAATGCTGAGAATCTTTTGTTACACTTATTAGCCATTCATATATATTTAGTTAAATGTTCATTTAAATGTTTTGCCTATTTTAAACTGAATAGTTTTTTAATAAGTTCTAAAATAACTGATAGACACAAATTCTTTATCAGATATGATTTACAAATATTTTCTTGTAGTCTGTAACTTGTCAGGATTTTCTCAGTATCCCTGGAAGAATAAAAATTTTTATAAAGTTCAATTTACTGATTTTTTTCCTTTTTTTGTTTTTACACCATAGGAAATGTTTGCCTAAATTAAAGTCATGTTTTCTTCTAGTTTATAGTTTTAGCTTTCTTACTATGAACTGTGATCCATTTTGATTAAATTGTTGGTGTATGGTATAAGATAAAGTTCTAAATTCCCTCTTAGTAAGTGGATTAACAATTGCTCCAGCATCATTTTTTCCATTGCCTCCACTGCATTGCCTCACCACTTCTGATAGAAATCAGTTTATCATAAATGGGAAGGTTTACTTTTAGAATCTGTCCTATTCCACTGATACATATTTTATCTTTATACCAATATTACATTGTCTCTCTTATTGTACTTACAGTTTTTAAATCAACTAGTATAAATTCTCCAACTCTTATCTCCTTTAAAAATATTCTGTATTTCTATATAAATTTTAGAATGAGCTTGTTGATTTCTACAAAAAATCTTATGATTTTAATACGGACTGCAATGAATGATAGCCCAATTTATGGAGTGGGTGGAACATTAACTTTCCTTGAAGGTCTGTCTTCTTGTAAAAAGGCCTGAGCTTACTAGAAACATCCTCATATTTTATGAGAATCCGATCTAGAGTCATATGTCTAGTTAGTTTTTAGTTTAAGTGCACTATATGACGTTCACA